CTTGATACGAGAACTTCTATGACTGTAATAGATATGGACTCAATTACAGTTTACAAAATCTCAGGGCCAAATCTCAAACTAAATCATAGAATTAATTGTACCCTTCAAATTAGATAGACAGAAATATTTACCTGGCATTGAATGAATCCCATTGTGCATTGGAGCAAAAGAAACCGTCGGAGGCATTGGATATTTCATTAGATGATGCTGATGTTCTAGCAAGTTATTAAACAAGATTATTTGTTTTTTCAATTTAAGCCTTATGTAGTAAGCCCTGAAAAACTCAGGATTCTCTTCTTCTAATTTCTGCCACACTGTATTAAGAGAGAACAGGGATCAGAAAGCAACGGAAAACATGTAAGCTTTAGCATTGTAATCGGATTATAATGAGCTCGTCAGCTACTAGTGATAATAGACAAATGGCAATGATATAAAAGGCTTGTTTCGGTCATTTAATAATACCTACCCAATGTTGTAAACCCAGGTTCTATCCTGGCATGATTCAAGAGGGTCTTTACCACCTCATCTTTATTCATGTACAATTGCAGACATCTTTCTATCAAATTCTGGACCTACAGCAGATTACAATTATAAATCAAGTTACAGCTTTGCAGGTTAAATTCATTATATGATACCAGAAATAATGCTAAAGGAAGTAAAGTAACAATTGCCTTACCAGTTCAATGTCTTTGCGTGAAACTTTTCTGTTATCATTGTTTGATGCTGAAAATGAACCAGATTCTGGTAAAGGAATCTTAGCATCGTTATTTTGTTGTTCACTTTGGGACTCAAGTGAAACCTCAGTGCTAGGCTTTATTTCAAGTGTGCTCTGTGTATCCTGTAAAAATGGTTCTTGGAGTTAGTAAAACTAAGATAGAAATGCTTCAGATCAAGTAGAAGATGATTAAATATGAAATGAGACTACTCATAGCAAGTACATATTCAATTCAGATAAACTTTTTTAAATTTAAATACGATTTTTATAGCTGCATCATAGCAACTAAACGTCTCGACAAAGTAAGCTCTTTTGGAACTGGAGTTCAGCAAGAAAATTGAAGGAAGATGCCAAAGAAATTTTTATTTTATTTATTTATTTATTTTTTTTTTTGGTTCTACTAAAACACAACATACAAGGGAGAAACGTTAAAATCTGTACATATTTTCCTTGCTTGTATAATAATGTTCAACTATATCTAGAAGTATTAATATATATGATCTCTATTTCAAAGGAGAGGACAAGCAGGAAAATTAGTTCTCGTACATTTTCCTCTTTCTTTTCCCTCCCCTCACTTATCAAAGGACCAACAGCAGCTTAGTGATTAGTTTATACAAAATACAGGCCATATTATTCAGGAAAAGATCACTTGGCTGAACTAAATAGGAGAATAATAACCCAAAACAGATCAGAAAAGTTACTGTGAAGCAACTCCACAGGAAAATTAATTCTCGTACATTTTCCTTTTCCTTGTCCCTCCCCTCACTTATCAAAGGACCAACAGCAGCTTAGTGATTAGTTTATACAAAATACAGGCCATATTATTCAGGAAAAGA